ATGACATAGATCTGATATGTTTATATTATAATATATAACAATATGCGCCTACTGGCTTATTTTTAATGATAGACGTTTTATAAAATAAACAGCTTTTCGTAGTACTACATTTGCAGGTGTATAAGACGACCCTGGATTTTAGAATAAATTAAGTGTATTTTTTTTAGGTTCAATGTATAAAGACGACCTCTTTTTTTTGTCAAGCAAGTCTAGGATGTTACTTTTGTAGATAAATTCTTAAAAGCTATATTTTTTAACTCTGCTAACCTGCGCTCGGGGGTAATCAATACAAGTGTTTTCTTATGCTCTTCAAACTCTACAGACAGCTCAATGCGGCATAACGTAAGTCATAAAGATGTAATAAACAACTGTACAAAGTTCTCATTACCGCTGAGCTCCTGTTCTATTACAAAAAAACAACAACAACTAAACTTTAGGATATTGTGGTCTACTATAAAAATATGTTTACAAAATTAATGTACGTTACAGAAACTAACTTTTTATATATAATTGTTTTGTTTTTGTTTGTTCTTTTAATTTCGCGCAAAGCTACACAAGGGCTATCTGCGCTAGCCGTCCCTAATTTAGCAGTGTAAGACTAGAGGGAAGGCAGCTAGTCATCACCACCCAACGCCAACTCTTGGGCTACTCTTTTACCAACGAATAGTGGGATTGACCGAGCATGTTTGGTGGGACGGGGATTCGAACCCGCGACCCTCAGATTTCGAGTCGAGCGCCCTAACCACCTGGCCATGCCGGGCCTTTTTATATAATACTAGTATGAGGGATGAAATCAATACCTTTCAAATAAAAAATGTCTTGATTAATTGTAACTGGCATGTGAGATAAGTAACTTCTAGTTATGAAGAATCAAGACCAATGATACAATTACAGATATGTTATTTTAACGCAGTAGGTGGCACGATGTCAACGCCACCTACTCAATAAAGCAAACAAAAGAAAAAAACAAACAAACGTAGTTTTAGTTAAATATGCTATTAACTGGAGAGTTCTTCTGGAACTCACCTTTGAACCTATGTATACGACGAGGGGTAAAATCAGGCATTGTTTTAAGAGTAAAAAATATCGACTTATATACCGGAAAATACGGTATCTGTTATAACTGTTACTAAAATATATGGAGGTATAACGAAGAAACACACTTTCTGTTTAATTAATGTAGACAAACCTAGTAAAAAAAACGATTCATAAACTGATAAGTTAGAAGCATTAGCGTACATTAAACTCAAAAGAAGCGAGCAGCTCGTTTGCTGAGTGTTTTCTTGAGTTCACTACTTTTATTTTTTGTGATCCTAAAAACGTGTTTAGCTCACCAATATACATTAAAATGCGAAATGGGGCTGCCATATTGTGTATGCTAAGTATACCCTAATATCAGTAGTGTACTAAGAATGGACCATTATTTTATCTAAATACATTATAAGCAGAAACTCTCTGAAAGTTAAGTCGAAAATCAAGCTTCTATAACTGAACTTGTGTATATATTTATTAGCTTCTGAAATGTTCGTATAAATTCTTTTCTTGATTAATATTTATCAGCAAGGCTCGAACCTGGGTCATCAAATAATTCGGTAGTTTTATTCTACTCCAAACTTTGTTTATACAATACACTAATAACATAGATTGATTGATCCTGCATTTTTCTTGTCGAAGTCTTTATGTTAATTTATCAGCTTAACATTCGTTAAAAGTTTATGTACTCTTATGATAAAGTTTACAAATTATTATAACAGATTTACTACTATATATATCTATTTGGATATCGATATTTAAGTTTAATTTATATTTGGAAATGTAAATAATTTATACTGTTAAATCTGCATTGCGAAATTCCCGCCTATTCTCTAAAATTGTAGAAAATTCTCGAGTGTAAGAATCAACAATATATATGTGTGTACGTAAACACTGGTGTATCGTTTATATTGTTATGTAAGCTGAAATTTCGAGAAACTCTCTTCACGCTTATAAATATAACCAACGCGACGCGCCAAAAGACAGTATATATATATTATTGGTTTGCTACAGTTGGTATACTATAAACCTCTGAAGCTATAATTGTGATGAACTCTTATTAATCGGGAAATTTCAGATATTTGACCAGGAACTTTTATAAATTTCGAACATTACAAATCGTTTAACTTCAGTGGATTCACATCGGACATTAGTACTTTTACGAAAACATTACCTAATGTCATCGGCGGAAAAAATATACGTGTGATAGGTGAAGAAAGAAGAATATAGAACTAGCTAGCTCCTTGTTAAGTGAATTGTATGTACATCAACTTGAAATTAATTCGCACATTGTGAACCCTCGATAAAATAACAAGGAATTTCCAAACCAGAAAGAAAACTCAATATTGTTTGTAAATATTTTTTACAAAGAGCATGATTTGTAATAATTGTTATTGTAAACTGTGTTATTGTTTGTATATTAAAATTTATTTGTATTCAAAAAGACACTGTGTGTATCAATCTTATTGGCAAATATCATAATTTAGGTACATATTGGTATTTATTTAACTACTAAATCTAAATTACAATTTAACTCAGTCTCAAACGTTATAAATTCTAATACATAACATTATCTATACGATTTAAGTCTCGTAGAATGATAGCAGTTAATCAACTGATGTAGGTAGAAGTCAGGATTCTGAAACACTGTTCCTTATACAACATGCTGTCAAACAGCTTGTGTATAACGTTTCTCTAGTATTAAGTCTTCTCTGCCGAAATAAGAAAAAATCATTCAATAATACAAACTAAAATAAATACTATTAAGTATTAAAAGCATCGTGGTTACTGCATCCAACAGAGATACTTGTTCTCTGTGTAATGTAGGCAAGTAGATGGTTAATAAACAGAGAAGTAGACAAATCTAAATATTCAACTGTCATATTTGTATACATATATACATAGATAGCTAGGTATATATAGATATAATGCAATTCAGGAAAAAGCGTAAAAAAGCCAAAATAACCATGAAAAGTAATATAGTTGAAAGGAAACATTTAATATCTCTGAGAAAAATCGTAACAGGTATATTATTGCGCTTCACTTGTGCTATGTTTTGCTGCGCAATTTAATTGCATACATATATTATACTCTTATCCACACTTTGTTAGTACATCAGACAGTAAAAACAAAAATATAAAACAAACTACATATAAAGTTATAGTTTTTTAAAACACCACTAGATGGCCACATTACAGAACAAATTATATTTTAGGCTCTATTAGGGCTGAATTTTCTTTCAATTATACCCTAAAATAATTCGAAAGATAAGAAGTAAGTCTACATGCAAATCATTTTACAAAAGTTTTATGATATTTTTTTTTCACCAGTGTTATATGCGTGAGAAGGAGACAAGAAAATTTAACTATGCTTTTGATAGAGGCTTTGGAATATTTTAGTGATCTCGCTTAATAAAAATATTTTACCTGTTTGTATGCTTTCTTACAACCAAGCACACTTTATTCACGTTCTGGACACCAAACTTCTGACCCACCTTGCCTTCTGTTGAGAGCCCACTCCCCCCCCCCCCTTACGCCCTTATACGTGCATCAGTGTATTGATTATGAAGCTATTCTAACCGGTTTGACCATGTTCTAAAAGAACTATTGTTAGCCAGACGGGCCATCCGTGAGAGAGAAAATTACTAATATTTACGGCAAGCAAAGCAAACAATCTAAAGACTAATGATAGGTTTTGTCCCCAAGAACCATTTTCACATCAAGCCCTTAAACAAGGGTTGAGATATATTACTTACTGGGCGTCAATACCCAGTTAAGCAAGGCTACGCTATTTTTATGTTCAGTTATGACGTCAATAATACAGAGCAAAACACCAGGCGACTTCCGGTTGGGCGCGAACTGAGCTGTGGAGGTGCTGGCACACGTCACCTTACAAGGCGGGACTTGCTAATCCCACCCCTCCGGTGACGGCACTGGCAGCTAATGTGTTGGCTTTGATACGTTCTTTAAAGACTCCAGAAAACCAGGTTAGTCCTCTGTACAAACAAATTATTAAACATTTGTGTAAAATGTCTTAATACTTTAATACACCACCTTAGAAACTTATTTTCTTACCAAAATTACTTATCATTGTGGATGTAGGCGGCAGTGAAACCGTTCTTCGAGGTGACGATTGGCAGCATGCCTGGCATTTTATTATACAGTTTTCGGGGCGAACGTGCAATTTATTGAATGAAAGCTGCGAGAGAACACTGTGTCATTGTTCAACGTCACACTGCCGGCGCCAACAGAGAAACCGTCTCTCCATGTTTAGGTAAATCACTTTGGAAGTTATCAACATTTTTTCGCGTTAGTGACGCACTAAAGTAAACCTTTGTCGCAAAGTGCTACATCATCTTTATAGATGTTCATTCTAAACCCAAATTTGAAGAAAGAAATATAAGAACTCAATATTGTCTAGATCCGTGAACAACAGGTTTTTGAAATATACAGTTTAATAGATTATTTCAAAAGATCAAAGTATTAAATTTATATTGTAAAGAATATATATAGTTTGTCAAACCCCAAAAGTTTCGCTTACCTTAACGTTAAAAACTATTACAGCTTGCGATGCCTCGCTAGTTTGTCATGCAGTTGTGAAGCTACAGTTGACAGTATTTAACTAGAAACTAACCAGCTGTTAGTTACGCCTTAAAGCAGTACTGAAGAGAGAGAGGTTATTTTTCAGACATGTAAGCGCACTTGGAGATAAATCTATGATTAGCGTCAGTAAGTCAGAATAACCGACCTTCGAAGTACAGCTGAGAGGGTGCTTCGGGAAAGTTACGTATCCTCCCGTCTGTTTCTAGCCGATTTTTGCGGCCAAAGTCGGATTTGGTGCATTCATCACTGTGTACAACATTTTGCAAATAGTGTCAATTTTACCAGCGGGACTCAGAGATTCTTCTACGTCTATCCTTCTTCATTCTGACTCCTCTCTCTTGGCCTACGCCGTGCACATTGTACTCCATGAGATTCGAACCTTCGGACCTGGGGTTTGGACAAGGAATGGCCTACCACCCGTTCCTCCTTCCGCTTGCCCGCCAGCCGGATTTCACAATCAACCCGTTAACTCAGCCCCCTTACTTTCCTCTACCTTTTTCTCATACCTATTCTCCGTCGCTCTTCCCCAAGTTACCGACTCTGCCACACTTTACTGCCGAAGACATCCTAGCTCACGGCGGACACCTGAGGCCCATGCAGCCATTAGAGTCAGAAGAAGACGGTATACAGGACGACCCAAAAGTTTTCCTAGAATCCAAGGAGTTGTGGGAAAAATTTCATTTGCTGGGAACTGAGATGGTTATAACAAAGTCTGGCAGGTAAGAAACAACTTTCTCATCTTGAATATATTTTAGTTAGTATAGGTTTCACCAATATATTATTGATTAGTATTTCACCCAACAACTATTTAGTTAAATTGAAAGTCAATTTGAATGGACTATAACATGAGATTTATACATGCTCATCATATTGTTGAACTTAGAACTCCAAAATTTAGTATTGCATAGAAATACTTTAGTTCTTTTACTACATAGCAAGTTGCAAGTCAAATGTCTCTGTCTTGAAATAAAAACGAAAACATATCTTTTAGAGGGGCTCGTTCCCCCTCGGTGGACAAAGCAGATAGCTCTATGTGGCTTTGCTATAAGGACACACACATCTTTTAGTTTTCAGTTGGAATTATCGTGCAACGAAAGAAAGATAATTCTAAAATTTATTCTAAGCAATAAATTCTTTAATATATGTATTAAGCGCTTTTTTGGTAGCGATGTAATCATGACCAATCACGAGCATGCAAGCCTCACAGTGAACATCGTAAGTAAAACGTATTGGTTTAAAAAAAATATGTCAACATTTTTGATACGAGTGGAGAATTATACATATAATAAATCACATCTTCGCTATACAGCAAGTCTTGTAATTATTTTAGATAGCTAGTAAATAGCTGTCTAACATAACAATATAGAGTGTTTACTTTTATCTTATGTTCATATTCCGTTAACTTTTTTGTAATTATAATCTTTTGTATAATATATTATTTTAGCTAGTTTTAGCTATGATGCTATACTTTAAAGATCTTGGCTTGTATTATTATGCATAGTTGTTATTCTTGGTAATCCGTTGTTATTTGTATATAAGATTTTTGCAATATATATTTCTCGTATTTATAAAAAGTGATTTTCTGGATTTCCATAAATCTTTATGGTAATATTTATATATTTGTGAATAAATAACTTTTAGAGAAAGTTTAGAAAACAGTTACTTTTTATATTCCAATTTTTTCCCAAATCCTTAGAAAGCTCTTATTGAATATAGCAGAATTATAATTTTAATGTTTACATTTTTTACTGAAGTGTGTGTCTGCAGTTTGAATACGTTTTACGTTATTAATTGTATGTTTAACTTAACAACAGTGAATCCACGAATACGTGAATTAAAAATATAGGACAAAGCATTATTTACGTATACATATAAAAACTAATAAGTTTTAATCGTTTGATGTACCACTGAAATAGATGATGGTTGATGGATGAAGATATATACTACGTATTTAGTAATAAACATAGGAAAACTATTTATAAATCTAAATAGCTATTCATCTTTATTTTACGTATTCTTACAATTTAAACGCTGAACTATACATAATCTATTCTTACATTTGAAATAATTCTTAGCGTTTTCAATGTGTGAATTTACTGTTAGGGAATACCTTGGTTTGGGCTTCAGTTTAGCCATATTGGACATGCTTTATGTACAATGATGAAATATAGTTTTTTATAATCGTATATATATATATCAGTATGTGCTCGTGCGTTTGTATAAATGTTAATAGCAAACAGTAAATCGCTTGAACCTCAGAACCAAATGCAGAAATATTTCAAGAATTTATAATATCGCAGAGCTGTTTAATCCAACCGTGATTAATTGCTACGTTTTATGACCCATTATGCCGTTATAATGAACGGTTTTCTGTTATTATATATTAGTATCGATTGTAGAATGACCGTGACGTTATATGCACTTTCAAAGTGTGTATTTTATATACAGTAATTACAGAAAACATTTAGGTTCTTTATTCTCTCTGGATCTCAATCACCTGAACTTTTTCAATACTAAAAGGTTTAATATATTGTTAGCGTTGATAGAATATTTTGTCATTTTCTAAAAGTGAACTGATATGCTTTGAACGAGATTCGAACCTATATCCTCATCAGACAAAGTGATGTTTTTCAACAGTTCTAGTTGTTCTTACAATTCCGTTTTAAAACTGTGCTAACAAAATTGAACACCTTATATCTAGAAATGTATAAAACAATTTTGAAAATAATCTACATAGGTAATTTGAATCAGCTTTTTTATGATATTTTGTCGCTGTGTCCAAGAACGCCCGCAGAAAAAAAAATAGATGGGGTCAAGTAACTCAAGTTTGAAAAAATTATGAAATCGAAATACAAATACCTTATGATTTCCCAATAACATAAAAGAATAATTGTACATATTTAGTAAATTTTTTTCGTTTTGAAAATCCGGGGGGGGGGGGTGAATTCCCTTGCCCCTTCCTGCGGGATCCCACGGCTGTGTCTGTTTATCTATGTATTTGTTCGCTATGAATATCACACTTTCTAAAGAATAAGCGACCTATTTTAGTGCACGTATGTAGAGCCATTGCTTATACACTATGTATGTTTAGAAAGCAATTGGTTCGATGACGGTCAACAAAACACGCAGAAATACTGTATTATACATATGTATACTGTTACAAGAAAAACAAAAACGTAACATTTTTTAAGTTAGTCATGTAGCCATGTATTCTTCGAAAGCACATCGAGACTAGGCCTACGTACAATGTTTCTCACAACTTAATGCAAAAATTGTAATTCTCACCTCTCAAATCTTTATCTCTCACGCGTTTAAAAATACTGTGTATTACTCGTTCTTCTTATCAGACGTAGAATTAATGATAGCTCTTGTATTTTAATAATAATAATAACAATAATCCATAACAGTGTTAATTTAATAAATTGTAATAATATATTTTAGTTAAGTTTTTAAATAATAATACGCCACAACGTCAGTTTAATAAAATGTAAATATTTTAGTTAAACAAGTAACTTTTCTCTACACTTCTGCTAATAGAATAGTAATTAATAGAATTAAAGTTTCTTTATAACTGATCGAGTCCGTTGTGAAATGAGCTGATACCTAAAGGCCTGCAAAGCAGGAGTGATTCGAAGATCATTTGATTAGTGCTTATGTTACGCGTGGACTAGTTTTCCAACATAGTTGATCATTAGGCAAGCTTAACCAAAATGTTTCTGTCACAGCTGTTTGTGACAGCTCTTTGTTCTTCAAAGCGAACAGAGATGCGTGATATTGAAGTACATCTGCCTTTTATTTTGAAGGGGAAAAAAAGGAATTCAGAACTGCGATTAATTTTGTGATTATAGCATAATTTTGCTATTTTATGTTGTAAATGGATACATAAAACGTCAAAAAGCTATCTTGTGCTTACTTTGAATATTGGAAGTTATTCTGTAGAGCGTTTAACTTGTCAGGATTTGTTTAGATAATTTAACCCTATAGAGTATCGAACCTTCATTTTTGATAATGTCGCGTTTCTTTAAAAATTTGTAAGTTTTCCTGAAGGTTGCTGAAATTATGTTTTCGATTATGTTTTGTTTCACGAAAATGTAAAGATTATCTTGTTTAACGCGTGAATTTTATGCTACTATAAATAATGTGTCAGTTGCAATGTTTAACTTGTGCTTTAAAACTTTGGGACACTGGTTTTTGATCTATAATTGTGTTAAATTTTGAAAAATGTTCTGTCGAATCTTCCATATGTATTTTTAATGATTGTTTATATACTAAACCTTTTAAACTTGTTTAGTAGGATATAGAAATTATATTTTAAGGATATGATACATTTCAATATCTTGTTTTAGAATTTTGATCTTGTGTGTTTGTAGGTTCTGTTTGGTTCTACAATAAAATATTAATCAAATGCTTATAGTCTCTCTTCTGCATTAGAAATTTACAATTTGCCTTCTTAAACTCTGAAACCGTATGTCAAGGTTATGCTTGCTATTTTGAAATTTTGTCCTGCAGGACTAAATCTTTACTACACTATTTTTTAAGTAATAGCCAAATAAAGCAAAATCTGCTACTTTAACTAACAGCTCCTTTTACAAAGAAAAGTTTTGATTTTGATTTGAATATTCATTATTTCCAAACCTTAAAAAAATTTTGAAAAGTGTTAAGTTTGATTTTGTTAAGCACAAAGTTACAAAATCGGCTATCTGTGCTCTGCCCACCGAAGGTACTAAAACCCGATTTTTAGCGTTATAAGCTTTCAGTCTTATCACTAAGCCACCGATGGGAGGAGGGGGGGGGTAGAAGACAAATTCATTGAGAAATATGGATATACTCTGCAAATCTTTACTTCATAACATTTCCTGGAAATCCATTGGCATTTTTATCACTAGTCATTATCGAGTTATAATCTCTAATGGTTTATAATCTATCAGTTGTCCGTAACGAAAGACCGAATCTAATATACTTTAATTTGGTGGAAGTGTGAGATCGACACTAAAGAGGTCAACATATTTTCTTAAGTTTGTTAATTAAATGTCTATCTAAAAGTAAAGTGCGTGCCTCGAATGGTTTTCAAATGTCTTGTGTAAATAATTATTGTTTTATGATTAATATTATAAGAATTTTTATAATTATACCCGAAGCAAATATATCAGTAAAACATTTTATCAATGAACTAGTCACTAGCAAATTCTTGAATTTTTTGTGTGTGTTATGTTTTATGTTACGCTCTTCTTCGTAAAATTTCGTTTTTAGTTGGACTCTAACACACATAATTAATTTGCATGAGTGGGCCATAAAACAACTATGCAATACTATGAGATTGCAAGTCATTTTTGCAGTTGTAATAAGTCCAAAATATAGTTGATTTTTTTTACGAGTAGGTAAACGTATTTGTTTGTTACAACGGAGTTATTATTTTGAAAGTATTCTAAATAAGTAATTTAATTTGTATTTTCGAGAGAAGCTTTGAAAGTCAAATACTTACAGTCACTGAGAAAACTGAACATATGTTACATATGCTGTCTTGTCAGCAATTTTAATATTATTTCTTTTTTCGTTTTGTGTTATTTGAAGCATTTTTCAATATTTAATTCTAAGAATGAGTTAAAATATATCACATATTATCTTAAGTTGAGGTAAAGTAATTTCACTGTAGACATTTTAAACGTGGCACTCTTTCGTGTAGAAGTTATATTTTATGGGATGCTATTTGTAAACTTTT